GAGGACGGCCTAGAAGGAAATGTGAAGATAAAGTAAAGAGCGATTTCCAGAGAAGAGGTCTTCAATGGAACGATAGAAGGCGTCTTGTGGAAGACCGGCAGAGATGGAGAAGGCTCTATAAACTTCCTCCTCACACTGCTTAATGCGGTTCAAGAGGATAGATTATGATGATGAGGAGGTGGTAAGGAAAGTGGAATGTGTGTAAAGATATAAGGAACTCTTCTACTGTTATGGTTTGGGTGGGATTGGATTCCGGATGAGAAGTGAATATTCTGGAGAGGTGTCCGGCGAATTCCACAGATTTTTGTCTTCATCATACGCTGCCCAGAAGCCATCGCGTCGACGGAGGGGATGTGAAATAAGATGGGATTTTAGGATTTTATTGGTGATCTTCCGCAAGAGATTTTCATGAACAGAGAGGGAAGTAAGGTAGCAATTGAAGAATTGGGATTTGGAGGCAATCAGTGGGGTGTCTTAAACATTGCCATAATATTCTGGCCCTGCGTTTGATGTGAATTAGGTCTACCAGGTATTGAGGTAAATTGATTTTCCTAGGAATTTTTTAGAAGAGATTTGGGAAGGAAGCAGTTTATTTAAGGAGTCATTAGGAGGGATGAGGTGAGATACGAGTTCTGTAAGGAGTGATATGAGTGGGATAACCATTGATTTGAATTTAATGAAGAATGATGACAACAAACTGGTGAGATCTGTGGCATTTCAGGGAGGAGGAATTTGAGGTTGATGAGGTTGTTGATGGTTAAGTATGTTAGGATGAACAGGATATTGAGTTTGGGGTTGAGATAGTTGCTGTGGTAGGGTTTCACATTTATTAGTTGGGTTCTTACCTCCAAGTAGTTCAGAGAATGATTCATTATTATTCACAATTTTAGAAGGTTCTCTTCTCGGTCTGGTTAACTCATCTAATACCCGGGTATTCTGGTATCTGGATTTGAGATTCTTATAAGTTTGGCAGCCTTTGTAGGTGGCCAGGTGTTCCTTTAGACATAGGGCACAAACTGCAGGATCTTGTATCAGTTTGGTGCACTATGCTGCTTTGAGTTGTTCACCACATTTCATGCAACCTGGCAAATGGTGGCAATAAGTCTTCATGTTGCCGTATGCCTGGCAATCGTGGCACTGCACGATTTTCCTCTTGGGTTATGGCTTCTCAATCTTCACAGTAGTGTATTACAATCTCTTAATATCATACATTTCCTCGATACCAGATGATGCCTCTAAGTCCACGAAAAATAAAGACTGTGGAACTTTATTTTTTACTCCTGGTTGCTCCTTATTCTCCTTCAAAACATTCGTTGCCTGACGTACTTTGAAATCAAGCATCGTTAGTTTTTCTTATATCACTTCAGTTGGGGTTGAGAAATGCAAATTTCTTATCACCACTCGTAACGATCTCTCCTGCTTCAGCTGATACGTATGCAAATTTTCATTCGTTTCTGACAGGTACTTCACTATTTTTTGGTAGGTTTCAGCAGTATCTGGTGTTATTTTTGTATCATTGGTCCTATTGAGGCAAGAATAACTGCCAGAGCAGATTATGTTTAGTTTTTTTCACAATAACTGGAAATTTTTGATATTTTTTACAAATATCAGAGAAAGGCTGGCTGGTGAATCACAAGGGGTACTAACACCGTCTGACCGAGTCCTCTTAGTGGGCACCTTACTGCACATCACTTGGTGATAATACTGCATATCATAAGAGAAAAAAAAATGAAATACAAAAAAAAATATATATATATATCAAACAGTAAATATCAACTGCTTTGATGTATATTTGAACTGTATTCAGTGAGTAATCAGAGAGATTCCGCTGAAAAATATGCAAAAACTGAGAGACAAATTGAGAACACAACCTCTGCATCAGCTGATCCACTGCCTTCTCATTCAAAATAACTAAACTATAATTCAGTAACAATGATCTTATCTTGATAATCAGGGATAATTCTAAATAATTTTCATATTTTCAACAATACTTTGAGAACTCAATAGCTAATTTTATATACACTTTATTAAAATATACTACAGTTATTGATTTATAGTAATAATTGTATTGATTATTATTGTATGAATAAGTAGACATACAATTTTATTGATGCAAATATGCTGATTATATACCTACATGTTGTCTTCCCATGTTTCCAAGGAATTTATATAAACAGTAGAAATGGTTGCGATAATAATTATAATCAGTGGAATTAAGCTATTGAAGAGGTATTGATTATTTATTTCTTGAAGACTTTGGATTAATCCATTAATTTTCCAAAATATATCATTCTAGATATGAGTGGAGGGGAGAGGTGGAGTAGAAAAGTAGACATGTCTTTTTCGAATGGTGTGAAACATTGTGAAAAATGTGAAACATAATGTGCACATTATTAGAAAGGTGTGAAAAGCATTCTTTAAAAAAATTAGAATTGGTTGAAATTGAAGTGAAATAAGAATAATTGGCTTTATCTTAACTTTTTGTAAATATCAGATGTCCATCTTGGATATAAAGCCACTCGATTACTTTTTAAACATTGATAATTTGAAATCAGCATATAGTAATTTATTTTTTTATTCCTTCATTACTTTATAGATTTTTTTCTAGAGAAAATTACTGTGTACAATGACATCTGTAAGAGTACATTTTTCCTGGAATTGTTTCATGCTGAACCATTATTTTTGTAATAAATCCCTTGCCATTTATATTTATTTATTCAACAACTTTTAACCTTAATAATCATTAAATATTTAATAGAAAATCTATTATTCAGGAAAATATTGTAATTACTAGTCAAATAAATACATTTATTTAAACTATTGAACCATTGAAAATGTTATAAATTTTCTGAGAATACAAAATACTGTATTATTTAACACAATGCATTACTAAATTTAACATTTATACACCATAACTATATGTGTAAATGTATTATATTTTAATTTAAAGTAAATGATGTAAACTCTTACAATCTTAATATATATTAAAATAATTTACAATAATTTTTAATTTAATTACCAGTTCTGTTGTATGGATTTTTTTTCCTAAAAAAAAATCTATTCTCTAACTTAGCTAAATTAACTGGAAAAGTTAACGAGATCACATGAAAACAACAGAACTTTAAAATATTAATATATTTTATGTTGTATTTTACATTAAAATAGATAATTTGATTATGTCATATAAATTTTTAGTAATATTCACGTCTAAGAAGTAACATAATTATATACATATACAATATTAAAAGCTGGATATGAAAGAATATATTTGAAATTAAAATCAATTATTAGGAAATAAGTATGTACTTAGTTATTTATACCTCAAACATTTTAATATGATAAATAATTAATATATTTGCTAAAATGTGTATATTTAATAATATTTATATGGCATAAGCCTCATTCTATTTTCATTTGAACATTAAAATTATTTTCAATAGCACAATATGAATAAATTATTCAAATTTATAAGTTGTTTGGTTATGGAAAAATAAAAATAAGTTAATATTTCCTATTTTTTTCACTGCTAATCATTGAATTATTACATCAAATTATTATTTGCAAAAATGACATGGTTGTTATATTTTGTTATAATCAATATAGTTAGATCATCACTAAATTTCTAAACTCTTAAAGCCATTAGTCTCACTTTCCTTAAATTTAATTTAAACACTAGATTCATTTAAACTGATTACAACAAAACAAACGTTTGCACATATCAAAATAATTATTGATTAAAATAAACATTTCTAATATATTTATGGTGTTCAATGATTTTATTATTATTCTATAGGATGAAAGAAAATAAATTGGAGTTTGTAAAATTTGGAATATAGAAATCAAATTTATTTATAGTAGTAATACACAAGGAAGTATTTGTATTGACAATTTAGGTTTTTTTTTTTCTTTTAACTAAACATTGTATTTAAAAAATTAAATCTTTAAAATATAAAACCCATATTAATACTTTTTTAAAAAAATACAAAGGTTCAATTTAAATTGATATATTAGGTAACTATTTAACTGTATAAAACTTATTCTAGGCCTATCGTAAACATAGGGGAGAGAGAGAAAGATAATGAGAGCACAGGTTAATTTACTTGATTACGATCAATGCTACCGGTTCACACTTATATCCTCATTTTCTACATTATGCAATTAGATACATTTTTAAGATGGCCCACTAAAACTGAGGTAAAGAGGAAGATTTAGATTTCAAGATGACAGACTTCCTAGACAGGAAACATTTACCTATAACTACTGGGTTTTATTTATTAATTATTATTATTATTTTATTATTTTTTTTTTTTTTGGTTTCTACAGAGGATATTTAGTGATACCTGTCAATTGACTAAAATGAATTAAAATTTTATCTCATCATGAAATATATCTATGGCTAATGATTCAAGATATCTAAAGAAATTTGTTATGCTGATCTAAACTTACCTTATATCACTTGTAATTCATTATTAATATCTGTAATAAAGATATTTCTGATTCATACATTTTTGAGATTAAGTTGATTTTAATGTATTAAAAAAATAGTGCATAAGTTATTGACAATGTGCTTCTAAATTTGGTCTACTTACTATATCATATAGAGCACTCCTTCCTTTAGTATATATATATTTATTTTTTTTTTACATTTTTTTAAATATAGATCATAGACATTAGTTTTTAGAATAGCCTTTGAATATCTTTAATTATTAAAATAAATCATTGGCTTTACTTATAACATAAGAAAATAGCAATAACTGCAATATTTTACAGTGAACTGTTTAATATTTAAAAATAGTTTTAATTTTATTTTGGAGTGATTCTTATATGTTATTGATTTTTTAAAATTGTTAATAACTTTTAAAAATAAATTTCATTTATTTAATTAAGCTTTATTAAAGCAGAAATATATTCTGAATGGTGTAAAATTTAATTCTTGCAATATATTTTTTTTATGTTCTATAACAATAAAATTAACATAAAATTTTATTAACATAGGAATAGAATATATATCAACTTAAATAAAACAAATTAATTCACTCACAGGTATCACTTATACAAATCTAAGTGAAAATGTACATTTAATACTTAAAATAATCGACATGTAACTAGTACTATACAGAATACAACTGGATAGAGGTACAGAGGTATACAATTTTCTCTTTGATATGAACAGTTCACTCTTTATTTTGGTCATTATTTGCTGGGGTCGTTTCATCCTGGAAGAGGGGGTTTTTCACCTCCATCTCGCCAGTCTAAAACAATGGAACAAACGTGCAGGATTCAACTGTCAACTTAAATTTTCTAAGCATTAAATACAGTATTGTTAAGGAATGTAATAAGCAGCTTTTATTTTTTCATTTTTTTTTTTTTATGACCTCTTTGGTTTTAACATAAAGTGGTACTGTCATTCCTTCAAATAAAGTGGTAATCGGTTAGTCTGCGGTAATTATAATGGCATCTCCTTAATCTCTTGTGCCAACAAAGTGTTGTCCAACATTCTCTTTCAACGACTACTCCCCTAAGCAGAAAAGATCTTAGGCCTATACCAGTGTGGTTTTCAGAAAGGACGATCTACCATTGACCAAATATTTTGCATGCGCATCATGCTTCATAAAGGACATGAATATAAGCTTAAAACACATCATCTTTTTGTTGATTTTAAAGAAGCATATGGTAGTGTTCATAGGAAACAGCTTTATGTGGTAATGAGAGAGCTCAGAATTCCTAAAGAGCTTATTGGAATGTTAAGACTGACCATGAGAGAAGTGAGATGCATGGTGAAGGTTGGAGGGGCAAGATCGCCAGAATTCACTTCTGGAAAAGGACTAAGACAAGGAGATGGGCTGGCATGTTTCCTCTTTGATTTAGCTTTAGAGAAGTCCATTAGAGATTCTGGTATTCAAGTGGGCGGAACAGTATTCAGCCGGACAGCACAACTTCTTCCTTATACAGATGATATCGACATTGCTGGATGCTCTTTCCAGGCAGTGTCTGATGGATTCTTGAAACAGGTGGAAGCAACAAGAAAAATGGGCCCTTAGAGTCAACACTACAAAAACCAAATATATGGTCACTGAGGAAAATCCCAGACCGGGTAAAGCATTACAATCGAAGAATTCTCCATTGAAAAAGTGTTAGAATTTATTTATCTCGGATCCCTCATAGCTCAAAATGTTGTGGATTCTGAAATTAAGCGAAGGGTGCTATGTGATAATCATTGTTATTATGGCCTAAGTTCATATTTTAGGAGCCATGCTTTAACCAGAGGAACAAAAATCCTATTGTATAAAACAGTTATCCAACCGATACTTCTGTATGGCTAAGAAACATGGGCTATCTCCAAAACTGACGAGCAGAATCTAACCGTCTTTGAGAGGAAAATTTTGAGTAAAAGCTTTGGAGCTGTGAAAGTTGACCAGTTATGGAGATGTTGGACAGACCAGGAACCCAAAGATTTGTTTAAAGAGCCAGATGTGGTTTATTTCATGAAGCTCGATAGATTGAGATGGGCTGGACACATCGCTCAAATTGCTAAGAATGACATTCTGTAAAAAATCATTACAGAAGTAATACACAGAACTAGGCATAGAGGGAGACCTCGGCTTCGGTGGAGTGACAGTGTGGCTGGTGATGCCAGGTCCATGTTGGCAGTGAGGAGCTAGATGGCGGCTGCACAGGATAAGAACAATTGGTGAAGGCTGGTACAGGAGGCCAAGACTCAATATCAAGTTGTTAGATAGAATAGAATATATAATAGCAATAAAAGATCTATAACACAGGAAAGTTAATAGTAGCTAAGGAATTACTCTCCCAAACTAGTAACAAATTTACAAAAAAATATAAATCATCAAGACTAAAAAATTGAATTTCGTTAGTTCAGTAGTAATCAAAACACCTAGTAAATACTATATTTGAATGCCTTATAGCCTTTCTTAAAATTTTAAAGGCCCTTTCGTAAATTAATTGGTATCTTTCTTAAAAATGAAGTTTAAAACTTATTTCCTTTCTGATTATTTTGTACTGTATTTTTGTAGACAAATTAAAAAAAAAAAAAGAATTAGAAGAGTTGTGTAGAATCATAATATTGGTTTATATTTTGATCTTTAAGCATATTTAAACAATTGTATAGTCCATGTCAACTTCATCAAGCTGTATGTAAACTTCTGTTCCCTTAATTTTGGCAATCACTATGAGGAGTTGACCTGCCATTAATACATACATACTTTATCTTTGATCTGTGAAATTGAAAGAAAGATTATAGGCATTCTACAAGTCTTAAGTATATTTTAAACTAGTTTTTAATACACAAAAATATCATTGTAAAATGATAAAGACAGCAAAATTTATACTTTAAGGTACTTAATTTTGAGTTTAGCCTCATATAGATAAAAATTAAAATTATTTCAAACATCAAAAAGCTGCTTATTACATTAATTAAACATTCCTATTAAGCAAACCAAACTTACTTGTATCACAGGCATGCATTCTAAAAACTACAACTACAAGTATGTGGAGAAAAATAAACTTACTTATTGGTAATTAGAATAATCAGTACTACTGGTTTAAATAAAGGAATTTTTGGAGACAAAAAAAAGGCATTTTAATTAATTGTGGCTCCTATATAAAAGGTTTTATACTGCTTGTGATAGATACAGTCCAGGAGCAACAGAAGAATGGAATAAGCCGTATTTCAATAATAATTATTAAAATATGGCTTATCCTGTTTTTGCACTAAAAATTAATAAATGAAAATGTCAAATGATATCATAATAATGACATTTCAAATTATCCATAAAACCAACATTGTTATGATTATTACTAAAACTTATGATTCATACTACAATAATGGTTAAATATTATAGCATGTACTAAATTACCTTATAGAAAAAAAATAACAGCATTATTTTTATATTTGCTCCAGAAAAAAAAATCATATAACTTGTACGTTCAATGTCTATTGTAATATAGATCTTAATTGAAAGTTGTTAAAAATTATTTAATAAATTAATGTAACAGCTAAAAAGCAAGCAAATCTAGTTTCACTAGTTCAGGGAAAAGAAAATAACTGCTCTGTAGTTTTCCCAGAAAGGAAAATCCCAAAAGGAGAGAGGGGACAAAGGATTTTGTTTTGGCAAGCAGTTAGTGTTTGGCTGGGATGAAGAGAGAATGGGAGAAGGGATCCTGGTTCCAGTTGGTAAAGCCCAGTAATATTATTAACATCTTAGAAGTTGTTTTTAGGCAGGGAGACTAGTAGTTTGGAATCACCAGAGAGGATCTCCCAGGGAGTTTGCATTGAGTAGATGAAAGTGTTACCATTTTGGAAGATGTGTTTGGCAGAACATAGCAAAATGTTAAAAGACAAATGAATTCAGTGATAAAAAGGAAGAAACAGAGTGTATAGAAAAAAAGATTAGCTTGCCAATTCATATTGACTTTATTTTAAAATCAGTGTTTAATTTTAGTATACATCGTGTAAATAATAATAGTTTGTCTGAGTGTTTTGATTTGACTGTTAGTAACCCATACCTGAGATAAAATAATTATAAAGTTCAATTTAATATATTAATACTCTTATAATTTTGTTTATTATTTACTACCTCTTATTTCTTTTGGGAGTATCCCAACTAGTAAAGTGATCGTCCGAGGTTATATTATTTTATTTGAAAATATAAGAGAAATGTTACACTACAGATATTGAATTAATCTATTCCCAACCCAATTGTATTAGGTTTCTATGTAAACAAAAGAATGTATTTTGATATGTATTTTTCCTTTTTCTGATTATACATTTAATCATGATAAATCATTTATAATAATTATATAGGTTAAAATCAATTCTGCCTATAATCAATTTAATAGTTCAATAATATTATCATTCTTTTATTATATCATACTATTATATAAGAGGAGAGGCCTGTATTTGGTTTACAATCGCTGACCACTAAAACTACTGGGCCAATATACACATGTATTTCAGCAAAGCATTCCGTGTTGTTTTGAAAAGGTTTTAAGTTAATGAAATTCTTGATTTGACAAGTAAAAAGAGTGTTAAAATATAATTTCAACCTAATATGTATTTCGAGTGTCTTGTAAGTACACTTTATGATGTCTAATTATAATTTCACATTATTGTTATTAGAATTGCTTTTGCCTGTTATTACAAATGCCACATAATTCACAATATTAGCCTTAAGCTTTTCTCAGTAAATGATATAGACATAACTGGACTATGAAGACATAAATATTAGTCAACTTTTAATTTGTTCAACTAAATTAAATTGTTTCTTCTTCTACTTTATTTTGTCTTTCTTCTAATTTCCTCTTGGTAGCATTTGTACAATTACCAATATTTTGTTTTTTTGGTTGATTTTTTAACAACATCCAAATGCCATTCCAACAATAATGTTACCAGAACTTTTTAAATTATGAATAATCATTATTAAATACACTTACAAAACTCTCTGAACACAGATGAATTATATTTTTAACTTTCTTTCTACAGGTCAAGTATAGGATTTCAATAGCTTAAAGCCTTCATGGTACTTACTTACTTACTGGGCCTCCTCAAGGACTCCAAGCCAGTCATTTCTGTCTCTCGCTCGCGTCCTCCATCTTCTTACTCTGAACAACTTGAGGTCCTCTTCAACATCATCCAACCATCGCATTCTTGGCCTTCCTCTGTATCACTTCCCTCCAATTTTTCCATTTAGCAGATGTCTCAGAATTCTATTCTCTGGCATCCTTTCCGCGTGTCCGATCCATCTCAGGCGGGCTTTTTTCACAAATGATACCAGGTCTGGTTTGCCATACATTGCACGGAGCTCATAATGGTTTCTTAACCATCAAGTGCCATATTCTCTTATTGGCCTATATATCCTCCGGAATATTTTTCTTTCCTAAACATTGAGTTTCCTTTCACTTTCACTGCAAAATACCCAGGATTCACTGCCATACATAACTATGGATCTCAGTATGGTTTCATAAATCATGAGTTTTGCTTTTTCGGAAAGAGCTTTAAACTTTAATGTTCTTAGTATGGCATAAAGGCACTTGTTACCTGCAGCCAGCCTGGCATTCACTTCTTCTTTCATGCTGTTGTCATGTGTAATGACTGCACCCAGGTATTTAAACGTGCTTGTACTTTTAAAACTGTGATCGCCAATCTGCAGATCACGGTATTCCAGTTGTTGGTGTCTGGAAGTTTTTTAATATTATGTTTTTCCTTCATTTAAATGAAGGCCCACTTCTGCTG